GTCGCTCCTTCCCTGAAATTGAAGGCCATCTACCATTACCAACCAATTTGTATTTGTGGATCACCAGACAAAATCAATTCAGTCAACAAAAAAGGTTGCAAAAATCCATTAAGTTCAAAATTGGGACGCTCTGAGTGTTTTGAGGCTTTTCGTGCAAAAACCATAGTAGCTCCCTCTGAAGGCCATTTCGATCGAATTATGGTCAAAATATACTAATATCTATTCCTTTTTTCAAATCTTTTTAACAGTATACTCTTGGACTTGCCATTCCACGGTTACTCATTCAAATAATGCATTCAACCCACGTTGGCCCATTTGATCCAGCGATCTTCATGAAAGTGTTATACATGCGCCATTTTACCGCAGTTCCTAGGCTTCTTGTCAGTATTTGCTTCAGTTCTCGTTATCAACGTTTTCAGCGCACTGAGCATCTACCGTAGCCGCGCGCTTATTTTGGCTGCTCACTGTAGCCAACTTTATGGCATGTGTCAAGGTCTCGGAATTATCAAGTTTTTATCTAGGTTGGTGTTTAGGAAATATCTCCGCTGTCAATACGTGGAATGGCATCGTTTCTCTGTGAGATTGGGTACGGCGCGATGGTCGTGCTGGGAATGGTGCGTTCAACAAAATGTCGCAAATATTCAAAATTTGCACACGACAATTCAACGAGGCTTGGTTAGCATTTCTGTATTACAGGTGCTTGGCATGACAGCTGTGCTTGGCTCTCATCTCGATATACTGGTTCTATTGCCTATAATTCCTTTACTTCTATCACTAGTTTTCCTGTCATTTATACCGGAGACGCCGAAATATCTGATGATTATGAGGTGAATTTTGTTTTCCTCTCTTTAGTGGGATAAAAATTCTAAGTTTTACCGGAACAAAGTACCTCTTTTGAATGCTGATCATTCACTTCGTTGTCTGGATGTGTGGAGAGAAAGATTGAGGATATTTAACCACCTTGCAGAATCTCATCCATTCATATCTAGTAGTCATCATTGGGCCGCCGTTGGCCTTTGAAGTAATGTACACGTGACTTCATGTGTCGTCAAGGGGTCAAGTGATTGGTGTATTTCCAGAGGTGATAGGAAAAACGCGCTACGATCGTTGGATTTCTTCCGTGGCAACCGGAAAGAGAACGAACAGCTTCTCGATTTGTACGAGCGCGAGAAACTTCAGGAAGTGTCAGAAGAACGATCGTCGCTCAAGGTTCCTGACTGATTTCGTAAATATCAAAAATACATTAATTGCTTCTCCTAAATCTCCAAAAAATATCGTATAGTTCGATTTGAGGCATCTCTCACAAATTATTAGGTTGGTCCATAAGTCTTGCAACAAACTGGCTAAATTTTGATTTTAATATTTTTATTATCTTTTTGTTCCATTCATCCAGCATGCTACACACCATCAATATCTACAACCTATTGCCAACGCACTAGAAGCTGTTCGATGCCTCTCTTGTAGAACTCCACTGAATTCTGATCGAAGAAAGATCAGATGTCGATTTTGACATCACGATGGTTAGGATGAGATTTCTTCTCTAGGACGTGGTCTGGAGAGGGAAGCAGGTGCATCCTTTGGCTCGAGGTCGGAGCTATAAGGTGGATGCAAAACTCTCGCCCCGAGTCCTGAATGTTTCCGCATTTCTTGGCACAGCTAGCTCCACGGGTGTATAAAACAACATTGTTTGCTTTTCTTGTATTAAAAGCATTGCAATCATGCTGGACGGTTGACTTACGCGTTGACTGCGACATCTACACGAGGGGTTTCCAAAGCTCAACTCCTCTTGTATTCCCACCAAAAATCCAAGAAGGCCCTACTTGGACGAGGTTGAACTTGAGCAGTAAGAACTCCCGAAGCGTTTGAGCTGGACTAGCGTCGCTTGTTTATTGTTAGCACTTTGTACATCTCCTCTCGGCAAATGTGATGGATGTCAATCAAAGAATCCATAGTAGGATCGTCTTGAAACATGTCGATGTCATCGTGTTTGGAGCTAGTAACGGGGCTCAAGGCACGTGGGACCAAACTCTACATTTTCGGATCTTTTACAAGTCTTTGAGATGCCACAGTGCTGTCTCCTTGTCGCATCGGAATCGCTCTAGCAAATGATCGATACTCTATCCAGATCCCTTTTCAACAGCGTCAGATAGAGCATCGTGATTGTCAGTCACAGGGTGGTTGGAGTGTGGATCATCTTCAAATAAAAAAGTCAACGCTGAGCAGAGTGAAGCGCCTTGCACCGTGAATTGAGAGCGTGCCCTCGCCCATCTTCTGGCTAATCCTTGGTGTAGCATGACTTGCGGAACATTCCAAGCAGTACTCGTAAAAATTAAGGGCACGAAGAGCTTTTCGCGAAATCGGTGTAATATCCATAACAAGTAGCGAGACAACGAGCTGGATGGTTGGCTGAAATTGCAAAGGTGGATGCTACGTCACAAACATGTTGCGGATTTTTCGGAGTTCTCACAAAAATTCTCTAGCATTAAATGTAATTTGTTGCAAGACTTATGGATCAACCTAATATAAGCATATATGTAGTTGTGGAACTGCGCAGAAGGGGTCCATGTTTCAGGAGATTTGCCAGACGTGGAACTTGAGACAAGCCGTGTTGTTAGCGGTCTCAGTGCTATTCCTGACATGGTCGTTTTACCCGATGCTAACTTCATCGACCGTATTCTTCAAACAATCTAATATTCACAGGTGTGCTACCGCACAGGTCGTATTCCGTTCATGGTTTCAGTAACCATAAGTGATCCTTTACTGCGTCTTGCAGAATCCAATAATGCTTCATTCAGACATGCAGCTGAACTGATCTCCGCACTATTAATGGTCGTTTTCACGATCTCCTCTGTTATTGGTTCTTCTTTCGTGGACAAGTACCCGAGACGTTTCCTTGTGCTGTTTTCTGGGATCCTGAGCAACGTTAGTTTCTATAATGTAGCAACGCTAACGCATTTTACGAAAGCAGATGTCTTTCAAGAATTGCGGTTCAAGAGTTAATTTAATAGAAGCTACCGTAACAGTTCATGTTTCTATCCCGTCTCCATTACGTCATCGTTTTCAACACTATCAGGAAGGCGAGTGCGTGGCGCTTCCTAGCCAAAGGGATGTTTGTTAGAGTCCCATGTCGTCTTCTTGAAACCTGGGCATGTCGAGAATATTGCTTGTATTGCTTGTTTTTCTTCTGCCATACAGGTTGTTACGATGGAACTATTTATTCGGTCGACGTTTCGAACAACTCGTCGTCTTCAGGACCTGAAGTCGGTTGGAAGTTTTAGCTTGTAATTTACCCGGTCAAGCCCCACAGTACTACTCTACTACTCGAGGGTTTACAAGCTAAAACTTTGACCGACTTCAGGTCCTGAAGACGACGAGTTGTTCGAAACGTCGACCGAATAATTAGTTCCATCGTAACAACCTATACGGCAGAAGAAAAAGAAAAACAGATTATAGAATTGTGCATACGCGCGGATTTCAAAATCTGAAACTTTTTATGTTGTTGCGGGAATAAAAGGTTTGGTAGGAGCCTGAATGTTTCTATAACCAATTTGTTACAGAAAGTGCAATGCTTAAAAAGTGAGACCTTTCTCTTCCTAAAAAAACACTTATTAACACATTGACGACAACGCGGGGGATATATATCCCGCGCATTGCAGGCCATGTCGGACCGTGCGGGATATATATCCCCCGCACCCATTACACTCATTTTTTTCGCGCACGCCTGATTCTTTTAGAAGTTTCTTGTATTCATTCCATGGAAGAGACCTTGACGTAGCTACAAAACATAGTGGTCCATAGAATGGTCACGTATGCTTCAATTCAGAGGAGGATTTCTGAACCATACGAAATCTTCAGCCTAATAAATTTTTCGTTTACTTTTTCTTCCTATGAATGTGAAGGTTTAAATCGTAGTAGAAGTATATGGACCCGCGACCTGCAATTGTGTGATTTGATTGAAATAATCAGCGTAAAATTGCTTTTGAGGTCCAGATTTGGGGTTCAGCTAGTACTGAAAATTTCCGCATTTTCATGGGTTACTCCATGTCTCTCATTGGAAATTCACACTTTACTGTGCCCCTAGTTGGTTGTTCTAAATTGTACAATTTTACTGATATGTCTTTGTATTGGTCATTAATTATGTCATTTTATTCACCTCCAAAATTCGAGTGAACGAGCTGGCCAGCTGCCGTGCCGCCAAATATGTCCGTTCTCTCCATGTGGCCTAAACGAGCTGAAAACTAGCGTTGTGTCAAGTGATCTACGATAAATGCTTTAAACAATAGCATTAAGAAAGATTTTAGCGAAATCCACTGCAGTTCAGAGCGCTGTTCCTGTAGTATCCATATACAGCTCAATAATTCGTTAAAGACAAATTTTGAAGAAAGCTTGGATTCCAAAACTCCAAGAGAATTGCCGAAAATCTAGAAAAATGACTACGCGATTTTTTTGAATTTCGACTTCCAAGGTCCAATTTTTGGAAATGCAATTCTTGTGCTTTAACGTGACGTTCTCGAAAAAAAATTACTAGCAATTGAAGTCGAAATCTCACGTTATTAACAAAATAGGTCCAGAATAATCTCAGAAATTGCAACGATACATTTTTTGAAGGGATGCGTTTTATAGCTTTGGTAATCATTCGTGAGCCTTGATCTCGTATTTTCCGTCAGGTTTCTGATTGGCAAGAGAACATTTCTGAAGAAGGGTTTGTTTGAAGGATGAAAACATGCGTGAGCGCGAAAAGTTGATCCTCAGGACCTCGCTTCATGACCGCCCAGCCTCCTTATGTACGCTTGTTAACATTTGCGACATCGTTATCGTTAGCATTGGATTTCCATTTTGGAGGTGATTTCGTATCAGACGGCCATATCTTGTAGCCTTATCTCTTCTTAACTATCGCTCCACACTCAGGCAAACGGCCAGCACCTCAATCTTGAACACGTCCGAAATCAACCGCCCGGTTGATGGTCCCAATTCTCGCGCTGTTGACAAGTTTTTTAAATTGCTACACGAAAGCGATCGCGATACCTTCTAGGTGGCGCTATGTTCCACGAAAGACTCAAGATAATAGATGAGATGGGGACTGATTGGGAGCGTAACCCATCGAAGATACAATACAACAGCGTAAGAAGATAAGGCTGTTTTTGACGATGTGTATTCCAGAATGAAAACCATGTGATGACGATAACGGTGTGAGGAGTGCACTGCCATTGAAACAAAGCCACTCCCAATATGTGGGTGGTGCTGTGTTCGTAAGTGGGTTCTAGCGCCTTATCACGTCACTGATTAGCTACATACCCCTACCTCTGAAGTGCCACCTTCTGCTCATTGGGTAGGTCTGCTACCCAGTCCACCGTGTTAGCTTTCCATTCGTCCTCAGGGGCTTTTCGCGACCACTCCCTGAACTGCCGCACCGTTTGGCGGCTCGGCCTTCTTGTTTGAGCGACAACAAAATATAAATAGGTGCTCAGCGCTCAAGCTTTCTGTTGATTGCAAGACAGATTGCAGTTTCCCTTAGGTGTTGCAATTTATGAGGCTAAACTTTGTTATTCAGTTTTTCCTGGTATTATTCGCCGTATTCTCATTGCTGGCATACATCAGCCCCTGGATCAGATACGCCTGTATTGCTTCAGCAGTATGTTACTGCATTTCATTTGGGTAAGTTTTTCTTCGTCAGCATGTTGCCTTTGAAACATCAGCGAATCATTCCTTTTCATATGTGTTGTAAAAAGATCGTTAACGCTTTCTGATACAGTTGTGTTCAGCATGGTGCTTGGTCCCGTCTCATGGTTTGTTGCGCCAGAGCTCGTGCCGGTCAAATACAAATCTTTAGTGTTCTCCTTATGCTTTGGTGCAAACAACGTTTTCATAGCTATTACTGATTTTCTGGCCATAATTCTCTTTCAGGTAATCTCTTATTTCACTTTTGTATACAACACTTGTTTGTGATTCTCTTTTTCCGTGCCATTGGCTTCGCTAGCCATCACCAGCAGACAGGTAGCTGCCTATGCGTTAAACAACACGAATGTTAGAAAACCAGTGTCATATTCGTGATCAGGGCCCCAAATAACCCCTATTCAGAAGTTTACAGCGAATTTGGTGATAATCAGTAGTGGCGCCAAAAAAGGATGTCATATTCGTGATCAGGACCCTCGATAACCCCATAGCAAAGTTTCAGCGAAAATTATTTTTTGACCCATCTCGGCCCCTCATATAATACTGCTATATTGCCGTTGC